GAGAAAGACTAATATTTGCTTTCTCACGAACGGATTTTACGAGTTTTTCATAGTTGATAGGACGTGCAAGACGATTATGAGAACGAATAATCTTCGTAATGAATTTATTAATTTGTTTTTTGTTTAATATTGGTGGTCGCCTTGAACAATAATGATGTTGTAACGATGAAACAATGCCATTATATCGATCATACCACCGCTTCACCGTTGCATGACCACCTGGGATTTGGAAAAGATTAGCAACAGAACGGAAACTGAGATTCAGTTGATTTCGAAGATAATAATCCATGGCGCGTTTCTTAAATGAAGGTTCATAATATCGAGATGAATCGCTCATAGTATGATATTTAGTAATCAATCGATATAACTTCTTTTGATCGGATGTGATGATTTTTCGAAAATACTACGGAAACGAAGCGAATAGATTATCAACCGTTATTTGGCATCGAACAATAGCTGAGTTTATCGTTAGTTTAAGTGATTAATATCGATAGATGGTGCTGTGATTGTAATTAAGGTATTTCTATGGGAACGAATGCTACATGACTGATCATATCTATCAATACACCACATAGTTTCCCTTCTTAGGAATATATGTGAGATGGAGATATTTGTGCACTCCTTTCAGAAGTACATTTATTGGCAATGATTTCCAGATTCATTCAGTATATACTGTCTGGTGAACTTTTATTTTACACAGAAATATCAACTTGTCTTTTTTTATGAAATTTTTGCAGTAGTCTCGAAGTGTGTTTTGCTTCTCATTTTTTTATATTCAAGAGCTGAGCATGCCAATTAGATACATATTTGTAGTACTCGAGATGCTCTGTCGAATGAAAAAGGAAATTTTGAAAAACTTCCATACTCTTGTGAAATGCGACCGAAAACAAGAAAAGTGGTGCGAGACTTATGACGTCCACTGTATGTTGTAAGTAGTACTTACATGGGTTCTGTTCTCTCTGAACATAGAACAGTAAAAAACAGAAAGAATTGACTATGTGGCAATTTCATTACTTAATCGATAATCTTTATATGTAGTAAAAATAAATAATAGAAAAATTAAAATTATTAATTTAAACATTTGCTAAACTCGATTATGACATCCCTATTTTATGAATATGTCTATTGAACAAAATACGTTGGCATTTTCTATGTTTAAAATCTTTTCAAAAAGAATTATAAGAGTAATTACTAGTTTTTTTCTTTCAATAAGATGATCGTTTGCAATTCGGAATCCACATGAATTTAGTGTCTTATATGATATGCTAAGTCATTACAAAAAATATGCAAAGTATTATCAATATATTTAATTTGATTAATAAAGTGAGATCAAACGTACTTCATAGTATGTGACTAAACACCAGATGTTATTATCTTGATCATAGAAGAGAAAAGGCAAAGAATGAATAGTGATAATTATTTAAGTAGAACTATCAAGTATAGACTATTATCAATATTAAATAATAAGTTCTTGAAGGCAAGATGCCGCTTATGTTGATTTGAAGACTTTGTTAGCTTCATTAAGGTTTATATGTTGGAGGTAAAAAATAGTTTCTTTTCTTATTCTACTTTCTGGATGTCATATTTGGTATCGATTGTCAATTACTAGGCATTTTTGCAAAAACCTGCGCTTCTGTTTGTAAATGAAACTAGTAATATCTGATAAGAAAGAACTAAATTTGTCATATATACATATATATGGAATGTGTCAAGAATAATAAATAATGGCTCTTTATTTTATCATTTAAGCCGATTTTAATAAGGGGTAAAGCAGGCAGCGTGGCCGAGCGGTCTAAGGCGCCGGTTTAAGGCACCGGTCCGAAAGGGCGTGAGTTCGAATCTCACCGCTGTCACTACTTTTTTTGATAATTCTAAGATCCAGCATTGAGACCATCGCTGTTCGAAGATCGTTATGAACGATTTTTCTTTATTTTTTCAATCTACATTGTTTTTTTAACAATAAAAGCGACTCATCGAACTACAATTCAAATTCTATAGTGATTTCTTCATCGCAACTTGAGTTAGTGGTCAAAGCACTTCCTTTAGTTCATTTATGACAACAGTTGTTCTCTAATAGCCCTCTGTATATTTTTTATAATAGTACAACTCTAAAAGATAAGCCAAAATATTTCAAAGAACTTATGTTTGAATCTAGTCAAATGTAAATAAGTATCACTGATTTTGTTGTTAAATAGTCACATATGTCTTTCAGCTAGTACAAATATGTCATAAATGTTTTCTCGAATAGTACATTTAACAAGACACAAGAACCTTTGACTATGATGAATCCGAAAAAGTGGAAAATATAATTTCAATATAATGAATCCGCCACGTTCTACAATAATGGCCATTCACATGAAGCATAGAAAGTTAGCTTTGATAATAATCCTATGATTCATGATTTAGCAAATAGAACTGAAAATTTATCTTATTATGTTGATAATCATTCATATATATTCTACATCTACAATATATTGCGTAAAGGATACAATAATCTAATGTCCATTTCAGAGTTAAATGGTCGTGGGCATTTTTTGAATAACTTTTGATAGGAACGAGATAGAGATCTGCGATTTTCACCGTTAGAAAGAGCAGATGAAGACGCATCGGATTATGTATAGAAAGATTTTTCTAACACCTTTCCGAAAGGCTTAGTCAAACGTTTTCATAGAATTGCTTTTTTTCTCCTACGTTTAAACAGTGGCTTTTCTATCAAAATATTACAAAAATTTACATTTTTAGATTATTTTGTTGAAAAAACTGAGATGGTAAATTGTGTTCCGACGGTTTGGATATCATACTGGTAGTAGTTAGGAACAGAATCTTGATATAGTTTTGTAGCCTTTCCTTTGACGATTCTTGAGCACTCCTGAAAATCCATAAATTGATATCGTGACCGTGAGAAGCATGCTGTTTCTCTTGAAGTTTTATGTAAACCCTATAGAAAAGTAGCTAGCAAAATATTTCTATATGTAATTCGATGCGTCCTCATCTGGTCTTTCTAACGATGAAAACAACAGATCTCTATCTCGTTCCTATCAAAAGTTATTCGAAAAATGCCCACAGCCATTTAACTCTGAAATGGACATTAGTAGATACGCAGAAGCCATATTTTAAAAAATGATTATTTTATAATTATCAACTAGTTTCTAAATTGTATTCGTCTATGTAATCGAAGTTGTTCAGTATGGTTAGTATGTTATTCATAAACACGATCTTTTGTTTTAAGTACACTACCTGCCATAAAGTCATCGCTAACAAGTATAGATTGATTCAAAATTTTTTTAAACATTTTTTTTTTCACTAATAAGTGATGAGACCTCATTACTCATAAAATATGTGTGTATACAAACGCGAGGAATCGAAAAGACTAGATCGAAACCTTTTCTTCTGATTTTTGAGACTTGTGAGCATTTTGTCTGGGTGAATAATTCATATACATAAGCAAATGAGTAATATGCAAATAAACAAGTAAGAAAGAGCTACTTATATATAGATAGGAAAGTTTGCAGTTGTGTAATAACGAATCTGATGGTTGATATCTAAGAATGATTTTCGACAAGATTCGACTGTTGAAGAATTGGGTCTTGAGAGTAAATTACATTATCGCATAGTTTTCAATTATCCGAGTGTGCATGTAGGCGTCACTTCCATCCTCACACCGACATCTGTCCAGGCATCCACTCTCACACCCTTTGTTCCTCATCTCAAGTGAAAATTTAGGAAATTTCTAAAAATTTTCGTGCAGAATTTTTAGTATTTTTTCTCGAATAAATTATAGTTGATTCAACATTTAAATCTTTTTCTTTTATATATGATTGAATACGGAGTTGATTTATGTATTGATTCATGTAATTTTGAATTTGATTTAAGTGAGACCTTTTAGGTAAATTTTGGATTATGCGAATAGCACTGTACAAGTCTATTTTTTCATCAGTACAAATTTGCTTGAAATTTCAACAAAAAAATAAAATATCCTTGTTCAATTCATAACGTTTTCATTCACTACTTTCTACAGCTTTAGATCTGATAGATCTGTTCAATATAAAATAATTTACGCGAAAATAAGATTCAGTGTCATTGAGATATGAGCATCTAAAATCTTTTCTTGAGTTTTTTTCAAAATTTATATTAAACTTTTGGTCAACACGCAAAATCAATCAAGTTAAAAACTATACAATTCGATAGAGTAATAAATACTTTATCCAACCGTATAAGAAGAAAAAAATTCTTTACGTTTTGCTGAGATACAGGAAACTGAAGACAACTAGCAAATAATAAGTGAATTAGGCTGTATATATTACATAGAGAACATAACAACTCTATTTTTGCTGTATGACCTTCATGCTCTGTATATATCTTTGTTTCTTTATTAATGGCTATTGATAAGAAAAAAAGAGAAAACAAGAACGTTGAGGTTTTTTCTCTCTTTTCGTTTAAATTGTCTCTGGTAGAAAGAAAAAGAACTTCTATCTTACGAATAATATCGACAAAAACATCGACAGAACGACAAAAAAAACGTGTTACATATAAATCATATTTTATGCGTTTAGTTGCTCTATTGAAGAGATGAATTTGGAATCATTAGCAAATGAATTATTACTTGGTCTTTTTGAATATTTTTCGGGTGTTCATCTTCTGCAAACTTTTTATGATCTCAATACTCGCTTGAACAATCTCATCTTTCGCCATTTCCAAAATTATGTTCTTAATTTTCAATCAATATCGAAGTAAGATTTTGATACAGTTTGTCAAAAATATCTTCCATCAATAACTGATCGAATAATTTCTCTTCGTCTTTCAGACGATGATGACACTCCCAGACAAATTGATCTGTTCTTTACATATGGTTTATCTTTTAATCAATTTTCCCATTTACAGTCATTATCAATTTATCATGTGTATTCTTTAAATTCATTAAAAAAAAATAACAAATGAATTATTTGATCTTCCTCATCTTACACCTCATAATAACTAGACATACGATTGTATATAATGAAATGTATGATATTGGAATTATTCAACCTATTGGACGATTTCCAAAACTTGCTTATTGTTATTTAGATATAATAAATGATAATGATTGTTGTTTTTTAACACCATCAATTATTTCTTCATCTTTAAAAAACTCATCTATTCCATATTTGGATTGCACTTTAAATCAATTAATATATTTAATTAAATATATACCTAATCTTCAATCACTCAACATACGTATCGTTGATCATTCGACTATTCTACAAATACCAACAATTATATTTTTATCAATTAAAAATTTGAAAGTTTTTTTTTTCGGTACTTTACATTCAATGAAAAATCTTCTACGAACAATGTCAAATTTAGAAAAATTGAAAATTGAAATAGAATCAACTTATATTGATGGATACCAATGGGAAACTATGATTGAAAATTATTTACTAAATTTAATTATGTTTCAATTCAAAATGTCAACTTCATTATCATCTAATCAACAAAATGAAGAACAAAAAATTGATGAAATATTAAATTCATTTCGTAGTCACTTTTGGATTGAAAAACATCAATGGTTTGTTCAATGTTATTGGATATTAGCTGATACATCATCAATCATTCATGTATATACACTACCATATGCATTTTCGGATTTTCTTTTACATCGGTAATGTTCGATTAAAATCAACATATCCTAACGATAATCAATATTGGTCTCTTAATTCTATACATAATTTGTATTATACACATGTTCCATCTCAAAATTCGTCTTTTTCTAATATTCATTTAAATAATATTCATTATTTAGATTTGACTCTACCGTTTGACGACTCATGTTGGTCAGTGGTGCCAACACTTGAACGATTAAAGTGTTTAAATATTGTGTCATATGGTAATATGGATTTGATTGATATTCATTCGAAATTACAAATTTTATGCGATCGATCACCTCATCTTCATTCATTAAAATTTTTTTCATGGTTTGCTCAAGATGAATTTCCATTTGGTATAAAACATTCATCCATTCGACAACTTGATTTACAAGGACCAAATATTGTATATAATCAACAACAATGTTTGGAATTAAGTCGTTCATTTATCGGTCAACAATGTGAGGTTCTTTTTATTACTGTTAAGCAACGAACAGATATAATTGATTTGATTAATAATATGAAAAATCTTCGTGCATTAATCGTACAATGTACTAAGACAATGTCAATGCAGAAAGAAAATGAAAATCTACTTGAATGGTTACAACAACATTTGCCAATGACATGCTCAATTTAAAATTCTATTGAAGTCAACACTAATATTCGTTTGTGGATTCGTTAATAAAGAATCTAGAAAATAGGAACTATCATCTAATTATTTTATGAGAAAAATCTGAATTATTCGTATGAATGAAAAATACTTTAGAGCGTACTAAATTCAAACTTGACAGGTCTTTCGTTTTATTTTTGGTTTACTGCTATGACCTGCGATAAAGCTTTGCAAGCTAATTAAGAATATTCTTACTTTATCCTTCTTCGTGCAAGTTTTTAGATAAAAAAAAACTGAAGACTCCAAGGATCGATTTTCTTTAAGAACAGATGTTTCTTTTTTTAAACGAAATAACTCAGTCTGATTTATTATCAATGTTTATAATTATTTTTCTCTTACTGAATATTAAACACTGCATATAGAAAATTTCGCATTTCTACGAGTATGATGAAAACAACGTCGTTTGTCGAAGCACGTCACCAATTTAAAATCAATTTAGAGGTTTATAATTTTAACCATTTTATTTAAATTGAATATAATTTCATTGATTATCTTTATTTTTAATTTTTAAACTTCAATTTAAAAAAAACATAATATAAATAAAGAAGAGAAAATCCCGTGAAATCAAATTAATTACGTACTTCCTAATAACTCGTAATGAAGGATATATTAACTTAAGGTACTTTTAGAAAGGATATTCATTCTTAAGGATAATGATGCGAGGAAAAATATTTATGAGGAGAGACAAGTCGATGACATTTTTGAACAGATATTTTTTAAAGAATAGTTAAGACCTAATTTTTCCAATTAATCCGATCAAAAATATTATATTTTTAGAGTGTAAGAGCATGTGATACGGGAAAAACCTCGAATTGTGAAGAAAGTTTAGTAAATTGAAAGAAAAACAGAAACCACCGTACACCTTTGCATAACAATGTTTGATGCAATACAAGTGTGTTGTTTTTTATCGATAGATGGCTTGTCTTTGTAGTGCACATTATTTCTTTTTTTAATTGACTACAATTGCAAATGTTTCGACAATGAGGTGAATGATTATTCAAGCTGTCAAGAAGAATGCGAATTGTATCTATCGAAAGCACAATAGTAATACCTTGTGAGATAAGAATTGAGAAAAAAAATAATATGATGATTCAGAACAATTTTTTTTTCATGCGCATGGCGTATTGATGCTATGACATGAACAAAGGATATCGAGCGATTTTTTATTATTGTTAACAACTTAGAAGTTCAAGCTTCTATGGTACAGCTTTCATTCGAATATTAGTCAACTAAGACAAGCCAACATTTAAGAAATTCAATCTATAATTTAATGGCTATAGGTGGTTCACATTTATGAAGAGATTTGCTTTTTACTATTTATCTGAACATAGTGGTAAAATATGCATGATGAGTATTTCTCAGACTGACACAATTTTTACGGATACTTGGCATTCCTATCAGTTACTCAAACTAGAGAAAATATATATCCTATTTAGATATAAATGAAAGACAGACAAAATGATTTTTTTTATCATTATCGACAGATTCACACTATGGCTCATGTAACACATACAATATGTCCTAACTAATGACGATCTAGAAAAAATATTTTGGGTAAGATTAGCAAAGTTCATGGAAAAATAAATGCAACTATTAGATTACACTAAGATTACATGCGTGTTAATCTATTAATAGTACCTTATTAATCAATTGCTGAAAAGATCATGGTGCCGTCTCAATAAAAAAACGTCATTAGTTTTCGAATTGTGTGAACAACATAAAAAACAGTCAATGGCGTCGAATTTACTTAGTAATGCATTGTCCTCAAGTGTGTATGTCGAGATGTCCTTCAAAACCATCATTTTATAATATTTGACGAAGAAATAAAATATCTGAGATAATACTGACACACACTGATGTGAAAAGACGTTACTCTATGATGCTCACTTTTTTACTTTCGTTATTATGGATTTGTCTCATCCTCTTCGATCTTCTCTTTTTGTTCTTCTTCTCTCTGCTGTTATTGATGCTTTTGTTCTTATTATTATTGACCTTTTCTTTTAGACTATTTCTCATCTTTTGTCATTATATAAATATTTTTAATTGTGAACTAAGAGCTTTTTACTCTCTATCAAGATAAAATATCGCGATGATTTAATTAGTGAATTTTATTTCAACATTACGAAGATCAGTTACAATAGGTCGTCTTTTACATGGACTCTCGTTTTCAGCAACACACAATGCTTATAAAGTTTATATAATTTAGCCTAAGTAATATACATCGCTAGAAAACTTTGATATTGTTTGCCCACAATGAAAGGTTTATGTCGACATTCAAAACGCTGTAGTAGTATTGCCACTGTCATTAGAATAAAATAGCTGGTTTTCATTTTTTAATCGTCAATCCAATCACCAAACTAACATCAAAAGCTGTTCCACATCTATGATGACAATAATATAAGTTTAGTGTGAAAACAAGCAAAACAATTGACAAAATTAAAAGTGAATGACTAATGAAAACATTTGAATTTTTAATCAATAAAGTAACGATCACGATAGGGAGTTATGTGAAAATAAAATTTTGTCATAATCAATTACTTCATTTTCTTGCTGTTGGTAGAGTGAGAATATATTATTTATTTGATTGTTCCTGACCAGAAGGATATGATTAAATTTATAGATGCAAAACTGATAGTCTCGGTTATGCGTGAAAATGTTGTTCCATGTTGACATTTGGGGAAGACTATGCTTTTAAGCGATAAACGACAGTCAGTGCAAACTTAATATTTTGTCGATTCTGTGCGATGAATATATAAAAAAAAAAGTTATTACGTGAAACAGCGCACGTTTTGGTGAGCATTCAACTAACTCTTCATTACCATCGATTGATGCGTGTGAACGACGGGAGACAGAGCAAGCTTAACAACAATAATATTCGTATGAAACAAAGACTACACAAGCAATACTATATGATGTATTAATCCATCTGTAGGCATTCATGCGTGAAAGCTAAACTTTTTTCACAATGTTTATAAAGACAATGGTGTCGTACTCTCACTTATAAAATAACGTCAATAGATAACAGTATTATTTTGCTGTCAGGAACACAAGAGTTCATCCTCATTCAACGAGTAAGTGTATACTATGTAAAATAAATATTTAAACACTCTAAAATAGTTTTTGCTTGTGAAACGAATTTCACAAAAAAAAGTATATATTCTTGACTTTGATTAGACCATTCAATAGATCAAAGGTTCTACTTCATAATAAAAAGAAGTTTCTCTCAAAAGGTTCTCATAAAGTTTTGAAAGATTTCCTACAAACTGCTTGATTTTCTATACAAAACAGTATTTTAACACCTGCAATTGTCTTTTGATGAAGCCTTTATTCTGCATCAAAATATTTTGCGTTATATATATCATTCGATAGAGAAAATCGAATTGAATTGAATCACGTTTTTGGTTCTGAAAACTCAATACATTCAAGTCATACTCATCACTAACTAAAATAAGTACTTCATACAAATCTTCGAGTAATCTCGAGTTTCAGGAAGTGAAGTCAAACTCAACATTTTCTCGAACTATACAGCTTTGTAGAGAGTTAAATCCTCTACAAAAGAGTATGTTTGCGTGTACAATGATTGCTTCTTACTGAATAGGATAAACATCTATTCTTATACGTAGTTTACAGTGGAGAAAGAAGAAAAAAAATTGTTGTTCTGTTGCATTATATACATCGAGCTAGTGAATGAAGGAAAGAAAATTACAAGTATCCGTACGCCACGCATATAAAGTGACAGAAGCAATTTTTTTCCCTTCGTTCTTCACTGTAGACTGAACTTGAAGAGATACATTCTTATCAAATTCAAGAAAAATGAATATTCGTGGGCTCAAACATATCATTTCGTGGAGAATTTGATTCTCTAGCAGCCTTATTGTTCATAAAAATTTTAAGTGTGATTTCGCTTTCTAAAAATCAAGACTATCAAAAAATCTATATGAGATAGTTATTTTAGTTAGCAGTAAATTTGTCTTTTGTACAGGGTGTGTCAAAAGTCATTCACCAAAAAAGTTTGTATATTTTCAATAGGGTTGTACTGAATGGATTGGATTTTATTCTGTCAATAGGAAACACTTCAAAGTTTTATTTCATATATATATAATGCTCAGAAATACTACTGAAACGTGGCACTTTTAGACTCAATATGCAAAAAAATTATTTCGACGAATTTCAGGAAACAACATATAGGTTTCTTTTTAATTATTCGAAGCTGTTTCCATTACGTGTTCTTTTCTTGTTGTATCAATATTTCTTTGAGATTTGTAAGAAATACGACATATCGATGTCAAACCTGATGACCACGCAAGTCCTAATATGATGCCAGTTTACTTAGTTCAGTTTGCATTTAAGTTTCTGATAAACGACGAGCAAACCACTTTGAAGAAATGCATTACTCAGGGTGTGGGTGTGAGTTCATCTTATCTTAACTGAAAGACACATCTATATCCAAGTTTAATAAATCGCACGCCATAAATATTCTATGCTGCATAGGTATTTTCATTTTCGGTTACGTTGAATGGTAAAACATTGTGCATCGCACCATGAATGATACGCAGTCGCTCATATCAGGTGTAGGTCGTTATTCTACTGATGATAGCAATAAGAATAGAAGACGATCGTTGATTAACAAGTAAGATAAAGTTGAACTTTAGAAAGGTATCAACGATAATATTATTTGCATATAGACTGTCTAATTGGCTTCAATATTTCACTTTCAAACATCTCGATCGACAATATGAAACATTGAATGATGATAATGATCACACTAGAACTCAGCCAGTTATTGGATACTTTCAACTAGTAAGTGTATCAAGAGAGAATACATATTAAACAATGAAATGTTTGTTCAACTTTGCGGTAGTTTCGTTTTGCTGATCGACTTGATCTTCTAATAGTAGCTCTCGGTTTGTGCGTCGTCTTACTACATAGTATTGTCCTTACAGCACTAATTGTTGTTTGTGGACAAC